TTGGAACCGAGTGGTACTTCAGTTTGTTGCAAATAATATTACTTTTATGTATTATTTTGAAATGTCTCTCTTGTGGCATTCCGCAAATTTCTCTTTCCACCAATTGTGGTTGAAATTTTCATGGATGCGTTGTTTGAGCATCAACGTTTCCTTTTTTTTTATAAATCATTGCAGGCGTACATGTGTATAGAAAAAATATTATCAATGCATTTGTTACTACTTTCCCATATATTTATAGTTGCTTTTAATTCGTGTCTTTGAATATCAATACTTTGGGCTGTGTGTGGTCAGTGTCTACCGCCAAAAGAATTAGAATCACGTGCATTCCTTGTTTGTGATCCGCCAAGCTTTATTCAACTTTGATATTGTTTATTATCGCTTTTCGAAAGGACCTCTATGAATAATTAAGTGGTACGTGACATTGATTCCTTTGTTCACGCCTCTGTCTATGAAATATGTTTTGTAATTATATTTTCAGTGCACGTTTTGTCTGTGTCTTTTTTCTCCAGACAAAGGGTCGGGGTCCATTAATTATGGTTTCGTTTGTTCTTAGTACTGGGTTAATCATCATCATCATCATCATCATCATCAGCCCTTTTCAGTCCACTGCTGGACATAGGCCTCTCCTATTGCACGCCACTGGGATCGATCTTCGGCCACTCGCATCCAGCTCCTGCCAGCCATCTTGCGCAAATCATCACTCCACCTTGCCTGAGGACGTCCTACATTACGTTTGCCGAGACGCGGTCTCCACTCAAGAACTCGTCTACTCCAACGGTCATCGGTTCTTCGGCTAATATGGCCAGCCCACTGCCATTTCAGCTTGCTAATCCGGTGGGCTATGTCGATTACCTTGGTTCTCTGCCGGATCACCTCGTTTCTGATTCGATCTCGCAGAGAAACGCCGAGCATAGCCCTCTCCATAGCTCGCTGAGTGACTTTTAGCTTGTGAACCAGCCGCACCGTCAGTGTCCACGTTTCGGCTCCGTATGTCATGACAGGTAGGACGCACTGATTGAAGACTTTCGTCTTTAGGCACTGTGGGATCGACGACGTGAAGACCTGACGCAGCTTTCCATATGCTGCCCAACCTAGCTGAATTCTTCTATTCACCTCGTTCTCGAAGTTGTTTCTACCCATCTGCAATGTCTGCCCGAGGTATACATATTTTTGAACGACTTCGAGAACAGCGCCGTGTACTGCAATCGGTTCCGGTAGTACATGTTCATTGAACATGACCTTGGTTTTATCCAAGTTCATCCGTAGGCCGATGCGTATAGAAGAGTCAGCCAGGTCATTCAGCATCCGTTGTAGGTCCTGCAGCGTTTCTGCTACGATGACGATGTCGTCTGCAAATCGCAAGTGAGAGATGTACTCGCCATTTATGTTGATGCCGCGTCCTTTCCAGTTCAGCGTCTTGAACATATCCTCCATTGCATTTGTGAACAATTTCGGGGAGATAACATCCCCTTGTCTCACACCTCGATGCAACGGTATCGGCCTTGTTTGCTGATCCTGTACTTGGACGGACATGGTGGCGGCCTCGTAGAGACATCTCATCACTTGGATGTATCGCCAATCTATTTGGCATCGCTGCAGGGACTCCAGAACAGCCCAGATTTCGACCGAGTCAAAGGCTTTCTCATAGTCCACAAATGCTAGGCACAGGGGCTGATTATACTCCTCAGTCTTCTGTATAATCTGCCGCACTGTGTGGATGTGGTCTATGGTGCCGTATCCGCTCCGAAACCCAGCCTGCTCCGGTGGTTGGAATTCGTCAAGTCTTCTCGCAAGGCGGTTCGTGATCACTCTCGAGAACAGCTTATAGACGTGGCTTAAAAGGGAAATGGGTCGATAATTCTTCAGTAGGGTTTTGTCACCCTTTTTGAAGAACAAGACGACCACACTCCGACTCCACGCCTCTGGAGTTCTCCCTTCAAACAGGACAGCGTTAAATAGCTTTTGCAGCTCCCTGAGTACCGGTTTGCTGCCTGCTTTTAGAAGCTCTGTCGTAATGCCATCCTCTCCAGGGGCTTTTCCATTTTTAAGCTGTCCAAGAGCGATCTCGATTTCGTCAATGCTGACTTCTGGCAGGTCTTCGGTGTAATGGCGTATTAAAGTGGCTCTAGAGTCCTCATTTCCGGGGTCAGGTCGAGATGCATGCGAAGCGTATAACCGGCCGTAGAAGTTTTCTACTTCCGAAAGAACTGCCGGCTTCGAGACAACGACTTCTCCACTTGCTGTGGTCAACTTCGTCAGGTGGCTTCTTCCAAGAGATTGTACGAACACTTTTGGCCCCCGGTTTTGCTCGATCGCTCTCTCGATTGCATGGGTATTCGAGCACCGGAGATCGTGTCGCACGTGTTTGCTAATCTCTCGGTTTAGAGCCCGCTTCTCTGACGAAGTGACGGGTGGGTTTTCACGTCGTCTCTTCATAAGCCCTAAAGTCTCTTCCGGGATGTAAGGGGGCGAACTTCCATCTTTCGCCCCAAGCCAACCTCACCTGCACGCGGTGCATCCTGCTGGTCAACGAACGAGGCTCTGGCGACCGACCGACGGCGGTATATCCGTCCCTTACAAACAGGCGAAATTAAGTACCGCAGGCCGGTGACGGGCAGCAGCGTTACCGGTGCGAAAAGTTTCGCCCTGCGATCGCCAACCCGCCTGCCCAGCGTGGCGATTATGGGCAATACCTCCTATGGGCAAAAAACGAAGGCCACGGCCCCCAGTTCCCGGCAGCCCCACTATTCCTGGTCATGGTGGCGACCATGGTAACGGTGGGGTAGGGGGTGCTAAGAATCTCCGGGCTACGGGAGGCCACCACAACAGACTGACCCTGGCGACGTACAACGGACGCACGCTACGGCTTGACTCGCATCTAGCGCAACTAGAGGTGGAACTTGGGAAGATCAGGTGGCACATACTAGGGTTATGTGAAGTCCGAAGAGAGGGGGAGGACACGATAACTCTCAAATCAGGCCACCTGATGTACTTCCGTGAGGGAGACCAAAAATCCCAAGGTGGCGTTGGGTTTCTGGTTAACAAGTCCCTATCTAACAATGTTGTGGAAATGTCGAGTGTGTCGAACAGGGTGGCGTACCTCATTATAAAGCTCACCGAGAGGTATAGCCTTAAGGTGGTCCAAGTGTACGCACCGACCTCGGCACACTCCGATGATGAGGTGGAGGAGATGTTCGATGATATATCGAGGGCCCTCCACTCCACCACTAGGACTCACTTCAACATTGTTATGGGGGACTTTAACGCCAAAGTGGGAGTACAAAATTGCAGTGAATCGGTAGTAGGATCCCATGGGTATGGAAACAGGAATCATAGGGGGCAAATGCTCGTCAATTTCCTCGAACGGGAGGGGATGTTCTTAATGAATTCATTCTTTAAGAAGCAGCCCCAAAGGAAGTGGACGTGGCAAAGCCCCGACACTATGACAAAGAACGAGATCGACTTCATCATGGCGGACAAAAGGCACATATTCAGAGACGTCTCCGTGATTAATAGGTTTAATACCGGTAGCGATCACCGACTCGTCCGAGGCTCTCTGAATATCGACTTCAGAGCCGAACGAGTCCGCTTGATGAAGGCCAGGCTCCGACCAACCCTGTTTCAAATCAAAATGGGATCTGAAGCGTTTCAGTTAAACCTGGAGAACCGATTTGCTGCCCTGGAAACCACAACCGACGTTAACCGGAACCTTGAAAACGTGGTTCGAGTTCTCAGGGAAGAAGGTACGAGATTTTGTGAAATGCAGCGTAAGGGCAAGAAGTCGAAGCTTTCGGAAGAGACTGGGTTAAGTTAGTTACGAATCTTGACGAAGATTTTACACGTCTTAAAATCTTTGATGTTAATAAAGTCTAACTTCTAACGCCCTTATATGTTTGGGGAGGATAAAAAGTTCAATGTTGTGAATTTTGGTGTCCATATTTTAATGCTTTCAATTATCGTTTCCGTTACCTTTTTGATTAACTATCTCTTTACCTTCACTATAAACAGTAGCCAAATTACGTAGCAATTTCGACGGCATTGTTTCTCTAATCTGATATAAAGTGAGTAACAATCTGTCTGTAGAATCGCTCCGGCCTTGTCGGGTTCAGAATTGAGAATAATAATTGAAAGATCGCCGCGTGTGTACTTTGGATGTCACGCGGTGTGCGAATGATGGCGGAATGCAGCTGCCCCGATGATGACTGGCTCTATCATTGGTTCCTGTGTCTCTATGTGCTATATGGCTAAATGTGGATCATTTGCTTAGTGTAGGTCGTTTCATTTGATACATGTAGTAAGCGTAGTATCTTGTTTAAGATGCAATTATGTAGTACCTACGTTCAACGTTCACATCTGTTCAGAAAAAATTGTATTAATAGCCTTAGATGTTCTTATTACGTTTCCTAGTTTTCATTTGTTCTTATAAAATTAACTGTTTGGTGTAACCGATTAGTAAAATTTCACAAGAATCAGTAGTAGAACTTCCAAAAAAATTTAACCACAAACTTTTACAAATACAGAATTTTTAGGTACTTATCACATTTTTTCTGATAAACGACCGTGAATATTGCAATCACGCCAAACCTCGTCCCAAATGTCACTATCGGCTGTTAAGGCGATTACTATCAGTGTTTATTGAATGCCACCATTATCAAACACTACTTACTTCGGTCTCGTCATTAATCGGCCGATAATCGGCAACCGTATCGCATAGTTTGACGATGACTAATTCTTTAGACTTAATCTGGTTCGTATAGTGCTTGCGAACGCATTTTTTCGTCTCAAGTAGCAGTAGTACGTGGAAAACGGATTTTTATTTCGAATTCCATCATGTTTCAGTTTTATTATTAATGATTAACGCGTTGGATCTGACGATAAGTGGAATTACAACTCAAAGACAGGCAGGCAGGCTTCTGCCACTGAATACTTATGAAAGAACAAATGAACACTTAACAGTGGCTTATAAAGAAGTCTTAAATTTGATTCTTTTATTGTTACAGAGGTGACGCAGTTAGAAGACCCGAGGCTAGAATGGCTCAGCATTCAGGAAGCAATGCTGAGGGAGTATCTCCATACGGCACAGGAGGCTCTCGAAGTAAGTACATTAGTTTACAAACCATTAAGAATAGTATAACTGATCTAAATTGAATAATAAAGTGCGAAAGAAGTGTGAATTGAAGTCTAACTTCAGCTGTTGTATCTAGTGCTAGCCAGCCACCGGTTGTTTGTGGCTCATGTTTTAATCAACCTTAAATATTTCATATTAATCTTTAGCTTTCAACTTAATCATACCTCTACAAAAATTAATACAACATTTTCTCCCAACAATTTGCCTTCCATGTCTGAGAGCACTCAGCATTAATGGTTTATCTTGCTTCATCAATCGATCAGTTTCATTTTAATGTGCTGATACGAAGGCAATGTTGTCGATAATTTTAACTTGACTTCATCGTCTATCGAGTGCAGCTGTTGCTTATCGGACATCCATCGATAAACGCTTTACTCGTTCCTATCAGTGGAGCAATGTCATTGGATTTAATTTTAACTCAATTAATTTGTGACGTTAGCACTAGATCGTTGAGATGCTGATTCGAAATTTTAATGCGACTTTAGACCTTGGGATCATTTGCAGATTCCGTAGAAATAAGAATATGAGAATTCAACGGATGTTGTGTATTAATTATTTTCGGAAGTGAAGTAATTAATTAAGTTACTGACTTTGTAGTCTGGTCAGATGAATGATTTTTACATTTAAGGAAGGCGATATTGAATTAAAAAAAGTTTAATACAGTAAAGGCATGCCCACTATTGGTGGGAGCATCTGGCACACGAATACAATATTGACAGTCTGTGGGAACAGAAAACAGAATTAGCCTCGTTTTCTATGTCATTTGGTCTTAGTGTAGCGGTACACGATCATCAAGTTCATGGATTTAAATGTCATTTGGCATCACCATGACCCTTTTATCCGCCGCGATATAAAGCGCTGTTATAACCACTCCATTGTCTCCATCCTACTTAACATTTTCAAAATTTTAAACGTGGTCTATCAAGGGTCCTTATATTCGAGTGCTTCCTCTAGTAAGAGAACGAACAAAATGGTTCAAGTATAGTTAATTTTAAATAGTTATCTGAAGTGGAAACGTGATAATATCAGTCTTGCTATTATGCAAGTGTATAGTTAGCAATATATACAATGTATATTGCCATTGTCAAAGGTTGAAGCCTTATCTCTTTAGAGCGACGTACACGACACAGATAATGTTACACGTAGTTTGTTGTATTGGTCTACGCACGATAAATGTTCAGATGCAAACAAATATGAGTAAATTGAAAGACTTGCTGGAGAGACTAGAAGAAATCACTGATGCTGACATATTAACAATGATTATTGAATATTTTAAGAGTTAACATTTACTTGGAAATGTTTCAGTTAATTTTATTTAGAAATAAAACAAAGACATTAAGCAGACAATTAAAATGTGATGAAATTAAATGAAACTTGGCTATCTATAATTAATGTGCTCGAAGGCACATTAAACACTCGTTTAGTGGCTTCTCTGCCAGATAAGGATGGAATGCGATCGTGCCCTGATACTGAGATAAGAGATAAGTGGTTGCGGTATTGTTTCGAATTGAGCACGCAATGAGACGAGACTTGATGGAGCAAAGTTCAGTCAGGAAGTAAAGTTGCACGCAGTGTAGTCTTAATTTTCTGATGGTTGGATTAAATAAATTGTTGGGCATCGTTTAATATTATTATTAATAGCATGAAGCTTATACATATAAAAGTAAAGCTTGTTAATGTTTAACAAAATATCAGCGTGATTATAGTTACATCGCTATCGATAGATCAAGACGATTTCTGACGATGACAATGCTTATATCCAAAAGTGCCAATGTCGACTTAAAGGTCAATGTAATTTGTTAAGCTAAGATAAACATAAATAACAATAATAAAAGGGCTTTACAAGCAATTGTGTCTTGCAATATTTACTGCAATTGAAGTGACAAGCAAAGGTTGAAATATGCTTCCTTACTTGTAGATTATGACGACAAAATATTTGTTTGAGCGAAATCAGGGTTAATTTATATTTTGTGTCATTGAAAATACAATTAAATACTAAAGTATGCGTTCCAATTATTTCCACATTATTTTCTGAACTTACATAAAGTCTTGATACCAATCTGGCATTAAGGTTAAGAATTTTTTTGTTGCTTTCTCATGTTTTTTGTGTGAAATCAGAGAAAATGATAAAATTATATGAAAGGCCATTTCGAATAGTTTCCTGTTACCTACGAATTCTAGGTTATGGACTTCAAACATCTCACGTCCACATTCGCACTCCGAATACCGTTATCACGACAAATCTGCATTCGTTTAGCGAGAACATACGTGATTTTACCTTCGCATTAGGTTTTTAAAAGATTTTATTTAAAACCAGAGTCGTGATATTTGCTACACTTTGAAATTTTTGGATTTTGGGCCAGTGTTGATTATGATCTGTGGTTGAACTAACATAACAGCGAATGGAATGAGAAGGCGAAATAAATTATGATCCATTTAGGCTAACCACTACTAGTTTTGGAATTTATTTTCCGATTAAATGTAGATTTTATAAAGCATTCAACCTTGTACTAGCCTAGTATAAGTCTCGCCAAGTTATTTGACTTACTAACAATACTTTAAACCAAGTAGAGCTTGAAGGAAATGATATTTAAATTAACACAATTTCAACGCATGAACCTTGATATTTAGCTCCAATTAGTTTGTTCTTAACTGTCAAAATATTGAGGCTGTTATGTCCGAGACATTTCAGAATTTGCAACAACACACAACTTGCGATAAAATGCTTCGAACGTTTTGATATTGCACTAAAATTAAATTTATATTGTTTATTAGTATCGATTTGGGTGTGGTGTGTTATAAATTTAGAATAATGTTACAACTTACAATTCGTAAGTATCTAGTATCGAAACAAGCAGAAGTATTTCAGAAGTAACATTGTAATCAGTACCTAGATCATAAAATGGAATAATTTCTAATAGGAATGTGACAGACGTCAGTGACGATAGAGCGGCAGTCATCAGTGATAACCTTCATTTCTGCCAATTGACGTCAATTGATTGATAACTACGGTGCAAGTAAACAAAAAGTTACATTAGAATGATCAATTGCCATAACCCAAGACCTTAGACCTCTGAATGCGCAAATTGATGTGGATCTGTTCCATGCACAGAGGTTATATGTACGTCATTATTTTTTATATCTGCTGTATTATTTCTTTCAAAAGGCTTTATGCTCAATATGTGTATGACCTCTTAATATCCAGTTAGGGGTGTGGAATCCCTAAATTTTTTCATTTCTTTGTATATCCCATTTCTTTGTATATTAATTTGTAATTTTGCAATTATAGTTTCAATAGGCGCCATTTTATAGTGTCTATGCCTTTCAATTTGCCTTAAAACCTCAAATTTACTTGGAAACTACAACATTTTGAACATAATATGACTCAATGTTTTCTAACAATAAAGTATCTAGTAAAATAGCTTGTAGAGATATTATATCTCGCTATAAAGCTTGCAAAACATGTTTGCTTGCTCATAATACCGAGAAAATGTCATTCTAACATCTTTTACGTAATCCTCCACGTGTTTTGGTGCTCAAAAATATGTAAACAGTAGGTGTTGTAAGTTGGGCTGTGGCCGGAAAAGGTACGCATGCTTTACCGTGGTATGTCTCCATAAATTGTGTGAACTTGGATTCCCCGAGACTTTAAAATATTTAAGCCTCAAAATTGTTTTCCTAAAACAATCTAATGACATGTGTTAGTCATTAGTTCACAATTTAGGACCATAAGACACTCTTTTACAGTAATAATTTTGTTTCAAAATCGATTGTCATATCGCTAAGCACGATTTAAAGTATGCCTCATTGTCCATGCATTCTAGATACAGTGTATATGTGCACAGGAAATTGTAAGACACAATAGTATCTTTTCTCATAACTCTTTAGGTTGTTAAGTTTAAACAACCTGCATGAATCAGATGGTCGAACGCGCTATAAAGGTAAACCACATCAGCACAGAATGGTCAGGGATTTATGTTATAGCTGTCTTGGTCACAGTTTGTTTTAGATTAAGATATCTTCTTCTGACTCTTTGCTAGGAAAACTGTTGAGTTTTTTATGAATAGTTTGACAACAGGTTGGTCTCTATTATTGAAATGCATTAAGGTCTACGCAATTTTGAAAGGTCATGGAGTTTGATCATTTTGGACTTCCCAAACATCTGGCAATGGCCAAATTTCTTAGTTAGTTTTAACGCGTTAATCACGAAATAGTAATACGTGTTGCGTGCAAACACATTTAACTGATCGGATATTGCGTTCCGATGCGTGAGTCAATCTTTCGATAGGCGCTCCAATTCTGCGTAGCGATTTGTTCCCCGAATAGACGCGTGCGCAGGTTTTAGAGTCTGTTTTAAGTTTCTTGCTTTTTTTAGAGGTATTGTTAAACTAAATGGTTAAAAATATGCAGGAAATAAAATATGCAAAGCAAAGATTCGTACAATTAATGTTATAAAGCGTCTTCGATTAAAATATAGAACATTAATATGACGACTTACATATCCGATCTTAAACTTAAAATATGAAATGAAACTAAAAAATATGCACATAATAAAGGATCCATCTTTTACGATCTCATAAACGATTGGCACGTCGTAAATCGGTATCGACACTTGATGCCCCATTTCATACTTTTAAGATAACAAAGACATCAGCAGTAAAGTTGTGCATATTGTACGTTTTACGAGAGTTTTATCATGGCAGATAGTGGAACAGGCTATCAAAGTCACTTAGCAGGAGATAGGCAATGTCTAGTCGACTTGCAAATCGTGTTGGTACTATGCACCGATAGTCAGTACTTACTCGTGGACTTGCCTTTGAAAGGATAATATTTTCGCTTGTTACAGTAAAGCATTTATAGCTGTTTTGATTGGTTGATTGTCCGATAGCAAAGGTTTCGTTGAGTACGGAATGGTTGTCCATTTGTTCTGTATTTTGAAGATGTCCTCAATCAAGATCCATCTATTA